AGATGACCCTGCGCTCTGCATTCCCCGCGAGATCGACGAGACGCACGTGGATCCCGACTCCGAGGAGACGAGGGCACACACTGCACGACGGGCGGCGGACCGGACGGAGAGGGAGATGTTGGGGGGAAAGGAGGAGTTTTGGGGCCCATTCCGTGAGGTCGCTTCCACGGGCGGCCCAGAGGCGCAGGCGACGACCCCCACTCCGACGAGGCGGGATYCGTCCATGCCGCCACYTCTTGCTCCGAGTCCTGCACCACCATCGCCCGTCTCGCCACTTCAGCCGACSACGGCAACGGAGGACAGGGAGGAGTTGGGGTCCTCTTTGCCTCAGCGCGGACTTCTCCACAGAGGCGGGGCAGTCCGCCWGCTGAGGTTACGATCACCTTCCCCGGGMATATTGGAGGAGGAGGGGGCACCGTCGGCAGCAGTAGTGGAGAGTTCGGTGGCACCAGCGGCGGTGCCGGACGTGACGATCGCAGCCACGGTGGAGGAGATAGCAGGAGATAGCAGCAGCAGCAGTAGCATCAGTGTTGGAGGAGATGGCAGCATCAGTGCGGGAGGAGGATCCACCAGCGGCAGGAGGAGGTGCAGCAGTGGAGGGACAGGTGGCAGCAGCAGGAGGAGCAGGTGGAGGAGCAGCAGCAGTGGAGGTTGAGGTGGCAGCAGCAGTGGAGGAGGAGGAGGCACCGTCGGCAGCTGCARTGGAGGGGGAGGTGCCAGGACTAGTGGAGAAGGAGACAGCCGCACAGGCCGAGGTGCAGCGTGGGGGTGATGACGAGCGCCTCATGCCGCAGTTCCTCACGAAGGAGCTCGGTCCGGTCATAGCAGGTATGACCCCGGGTGTGGCGAGGGGGTTTGGGATTTCGGATTCAGAGATGGGGACCCACTTAGACTTAGATTTGTCAATGGGCCTTCCAGCTAGTTGCGGCGGGGCGACATCGACGGACCAGGCTCCATCGAGGGACGAGGCGCCAGGACAGACTTCGACGCAGACCGCGAGAGAAAGGACGACGACTGAATCTCCAGATGCAGCACGCGGCATCATGGAGCGAGAGAGGGCTCGACTTTTGGCATCGAGTGACCCGCGTGCTCAGGCATTCGCACGGGCCGTAGAGGAGGTAAGGCGTCGAGAGATTGGGGGGGATTGTGTGCACGGTGCGGTGGTGGCGGGGGAGGACGTTGCGGAGGGAGTGGCAGCAGAGTCGGTACCCAAGGCTATATCGGGTGGAGGAGAGGCAGCGGACGTTGCTGTGGAGGGACGGCCTCAAGCGGTGGATGAGGGTGTGMAGGCAGGACAACGACAAGTCGAGGGGGCTATAGACGCACGACGCGAGGTCCAGGAGACAGCGACGGGTCCAGTCGTTCCRTTCTCGGGCCTGCACTTGGCTCAGGCCCGACAGTCGCAGGCGGTTCAGATGGCAGTGCATGGTGTGCCACCGCCCGTTATCACGGATTTGGGGTCCGAGTCAGTGGTTGTGCCCCCACGTCTTCCTAGCCACTTTGCTCCGTAGGAGGTCCGTCGTCCTTTGGATGCAGAGGAGTTGGTGAGAGAGGTTGTGCGCGATGTTACTCAATTGGACCGACGGATCGTCGACCGGAGGCTCGAGCATCCACCATGGCAGACGATCCCTTCGGTTCCATGGGGTCCTGCGTCGCCGGTGTGGTCTGGGTCTACCTCCACCGGAGGACATACCGCGGGACATGTTCCAGGGGTTTCAGGTGGCGTGACGGAGACAGCGCCACGCACATGAGACATGCCACCCCCTCCTCCCAGAGCACCTGTAGGTGATCCATCATCGTCGCCCGCAGGCAGAGGCTCTCGATCCCAACACACACCTGGGAGATGTAGGATTCGTGACACGACAGCAGTTCAGCAGGACGTGTGTGACACGACGATATTCGGGAGGACAGACATAGATTTGGATTCCACCCGCCGTGTCACGGAGCACACTGCACGCCTTCAACCGGGCTTGGAAGGAGGAGGCGCCAGGACGACCGAGGCGAGGGAGGTACCGACATCAGGTTGTGAGCCTCAGCGAGGTCGAGGCACAGGAGTGTCCACCGAGATCTTGGAGTACGCTCTGAGAACAGCGACGCGTGCCATGCAGGAGCAGACTCCACGCAAGCGTGGAATGCCTCCTTGTCCACGCCCCGTCCCTGCAGAGGGAGGCGCAACACTTAGATAGAGTTAGGGGGCGGAGGGGTTGGGGATGCCTCGTGGATCCCGCCGTGAGCAGACCGTTGCAGAGGCTAGTGCGAGGGTTGTTGTGTTGAGGAAGGGAGGAGGCCCAGTCACCATCGAGGAGGATGATCCTGATACGGATGCGGCTGTGCGGGAGGCGGACGAGGACTATGAGGGCGAGGAGGGGGGAGAGGAGGAGAGCAGGAGCGGTTCCAATGGTGACGACGACGACGACAACGATAAGCCCCCACCTCCCCCAGGACCCCCACCAACACATGCATCTAAACGCTCCGCTACACGGACTTCTTCATCCTCACGAGGGGGGAAGAGGTCGACATCTGGCACTCGAGGGGGTACGAGGAGACACAGCGGGAAGGGGAAGAAGGGTCGTTGACCGATGAGGCCAACACTCCGCTTCTCCCCTACTCGCACTATACGTTGTCATGTTGTGCGGTCGTAGTTTTTTTGGTCGTCTGAGCCGTCCCGTTTTGTCTCAGTATTGTCAGACACTCAGTGGTTGTGTGTGTGTTTTACTTGTTGGTGAGTATGATTTTGGTAGCAGTAGGGTGTTCGTAGAGTATGATTTTGGTGCCAGTAGGGTGTTCGTAGAGTGTCGTCGCTTGCAGCAGACTGAGTTCAGACTGTACAGTATCTTGGCAGCTACGACACGACTTGTAGACTACTCTTTCTTGTATTTTTTTCAACATGTGGTGCCTGTGCATTAACAGTAGGATACATTGTATCATGTTATATTTTGCATGTGTGATATTAGTATCAACCTGTCAGGTACTTCGCATCGTTCACGACTTTTTATGTACATTACATTTTCTCTTACGAGTGGTGCACGTTGCGTGCCTATTTTTTTTTCGGTGTGTGATTTTAAATCTTTAATTATTCTTCTCGGTCGGGTCAATTACATTTCTTGCATTTTTTTTCTTTTAATTTATTTATGGGCTTCGAGAGTTCGGTGCTTGTTTTTTTTTTTCTATCTTATTTGTTGATTTTATTTGCATTGAATGGAATACTAACTGATAGATGTTAATCATATATGGGCTCGCCTATTTGATATCCACCCACGGAT